AACAATTCCTATATTCTAATTCTCCATAAAATGTCAGAACTACTAAACAATAACCTGAGCATCTGATGAAAGACCTCTCCTAATGAGAGCAAGAGGCTGCTTTTCCTTCCAGTGAAGAACTGCACACATGCAGAGATAACTCATTCCCAGCACACAGGATAACTTCAACAAAGGAGCAGATCGCAAAACTAACCTCTACCTTCACTTTATTTTTACCTTCAAAACCACACAGAACGGGTCCTCCATGATTTTTGGGTTTTGGTTTCCACATTTGGGCCAGCTTTATCCCACAGCACCCAGCCTGTGTTTGGCCCAGTATTTGTGTAGTGCAGGGGAAATAACTGGATAAAAGAGGAGGCTGCAGATTTTGGTACTGTATTTGGTCTGTGAAAAGCACTCAAAGGAATGAGAAACATTCTGATGGAAAAAAAAAAATAAAAAATTGTTGCCTTACTGCTTGTGAGTGCGTTAAGGACTTTTGCTAAAACATCTGTCCTTTGAGAGTGCTCTTTCTTCTGAAAAGGGCAACTGCCTCACTTCTGCTGATTATATTTGCAAAGGGCAAAGTGAGTTTTTGCTGTATCCTTAATGGACAGAGGCTAGTGGCAATTCTTGCTCTTTCATAAATCTCAGCATTCCTAGTGGTGTCTGCTGTCAGAATCGATTAGGAGTAAGTGCTTGGACTGCAGAGCCATGGAAAGGCGGTGTGTCTCCTGCAGTCCCACGCAGAGCCAGGAAAAAACTCCTCCAGAGCCAGCAGTAGGCTTGGGTGCTTCCCTGGGCATGGGGGAGACAGTCCCTGCTCCTTACACTCGGGGACAGCACAGTCAGTGGCTCCTCCCGCAAAGCCAGTAGCTGGCTGAGCTGGGAAGCATGAGTGATGGCAATTAGGGGCCAGAGCTGAGTCATCCGTAATACAATCGTAAGGATACACACATTTTTCCTGAGAGAAAATCAATAGAACTTTGCACTTTTCCTTGTAATATTTCCAGCCTGCACCATCAGCCATAGTCTGCTCACAGTTATACCGCTATAAATTTGCTGCAAGTTAATGGATTTCAACAGAAATGAATGGATTTACAACTGGTGTAACAGATCTGATGCCAGAGCCATGCACATGTAAAAATACATGGAACAAAAGTAGCTTTTATTACCACACAGGTGACCTTCAACATACCAAGGCCTAGCCAAGTAAAAAGCAAAATCACCTGCCTAGTTCCTGGTACGTGCCTTTGCTGGCAGAAGACCCAAGGAAAATAAGGAAAGCATGCGGTCCTGAAAATAAGCTGTGGGTGGTAAGAAGGCCAGAGACCCCCTGGAGGGCAGATGGGTGGGTGAGCGGGTGCATGCTGCAATGGATAATGAAGACTGTCCAAATTGTCATTTTTCATTTCCTGCATAAAATATTTTGGAGCTTCATCTCACTCAGAATTAGTAAGTGTATAAATAATGTGCTTCCAAACTTGTGTGTCAAAACTAGGTTGGTTAATGTATGAGCTGCCTCTGTTGCGTTTGTTACTACACAGTAAATTTCATGCTTAGCCAGAGGCTGACGAAGTTCGTTTATTCATTATCCCCAAACTTCAGGCGGTTGTTAGTCAAACTCCCCCAGTACATCTATTAAAAAAAAAAAAAAAAAAAAAAAAAAAAAACGGAAAATTGATGGGATCAAAAATGTTAAAGTCTTAATTAATGCTTTTTAGCAAAGACTGACTGGAGGGGAGTTTGTCGTGAGAATATTAATTTGCAGTGAGTGAGCACGCTTCCTGCTCCTGATGGCAGTCGCCTGCCTGCGAGGGGGAGAGGCTCTGGCAGCCGTGCCAGGGTGCTCAGCCCCTGCTGCCCAGCGAGCTGCTGGCAGGCTGGGACACCGCCTGCATCTCAACAGGGCTACAAGTCCTGCGAGAGCACTAAAACTCCAATACATGCAAATCACTGCTGATGAAGATTGTAAAATATTCATTTACTGGCAGGAAAGGACATGGGATTTTTGTCTTTTTTCCACAATTTAGGGAAATTGTGTGTTGTTTTTGTCCCCCAGTAAGATGCCCTGAGGCAGAGCCTGGGGCTGCATGCATGGGAGGGGTGGGGTTCATCCACGCAGAAGCAGGTGCAGTTATTCCATCAGAAAATTACCTCACCCTAAAACAAAGGGAACAAGACTAACACCGGGGGAAACCCAGCCTTGGCACGGGGGCAGCAGTGAGGGACTCCTGTGATGCCCAGTCCTGCTGCAGAGCCCCTTCTCCAGGCATGGCCATGTGGTTCAGAGGGGATAGAAAAAAAGGACGTCGCTCCATCTGGTTTTGTTTTTCAGATAGTATTTCTGAAACCCAGCAACATCTCTTAAGGAAAAAGATGGATTTGACTGTAAATAGAACCAGCCAGGAAAGATATCTGGTTACTGTTCTGAATCACTGATAATGCAAAACAGTACTGAGAAACTGTTTGAAGGGTCCATGCTTATGTTAATTAAGGGATTGAAATCTCCTGTTTTACCTCTGGTGACTGCCAGCCTTACAATTACAGCGATTATGGACATTCTAAGCAAATCACAGTTATATTAGCAGTCAAATCAAAGAGGACTGTGCTGTAGAGTTACTTAATGGATTTCTTTTTTTTTTTTTTTACTTAATTGGATTTGCTGGCTCTAGATTTGTCTTAGTGTTAAAAATGTTTCTAAAAATCACATCTTCAGCTTAATACAAATGAAATGAACGAGGTCTCAATAAATAACTCAAAAATGCTTAAAGTTCTGTAGAAAACTAAGCTTTATCTAATGGGACATTTTTCATTTTTACCCTGGTGAAGATGGGAAAAGGGGTGTTAAGCTATTGTTTGTTTTGTTCCATGACCAGATCTGTCCAAAACTTTAATTCATCTTTGTGTTAATACCCTTGAAATAGGAAGCAACAGATAAATGTCTTTGGGAGTGTTACACAGGAGGGGAGAGGGGTGGAATTGACCCCATCAAATGGACTCTTTTTTGCATTTTCTCATCATTTTCCTTGAAAATTTGGAATTGATTTTTTTAACAAACTGGAAAAGGAATTCTTCATTACAAAGTATGTCTCAGGCTTGTAATTAGCTCTGGCAATGCAGTGAGTCTCATGACTCAAGTTGGTCTTCTTCAAGGTGATCTACATAGTATCTACATGTTGAATCTTAGGCTGTCAGTCAAAATATGCTTTTTTTTGGCAAAAAATAATAGGATACATCTGATTTCCAAGTACTGTGTTTTTATAATAGCTTTTATTATTTTTTAAACAGAGTGCCTCTGCATAAACAAAATTTATCTCTAAATTTCCAAGTCAGAGCCTCTTTTTAATGTATATATTGTAATTCGTTTAGTTACCCTGGACAGTTGCATATCAGCGTTTCCAGAGTTGTCAGCATTGATCTTCGTGACTGATACCTGTTAGCCTGTCAGTAATCAGCTGTCTTTGCAGATCTCAAAATGTGTCACTGGCCCCACAGGGCGATTTTTGGCACTGTGAGGGTGTGTATGAGGAAGCCCAGTGCTGGGTCACTGACATCCCCCATCGCCCTTGGTGTGCCTCATTCTCTGCTCCCAGGAACAACTCGGTTGGTTGCTGTGACCTAGAGATGAACGCTTGGCCAACTGTTAGCAAAGGTACCTCGGTTATGTCTTGGGACACGTGCCCTCCTATGACATGGGTTGGCCTTGGGCAGGGGGATAGCCATTGCTCTGAGGAGCTGGAGAGAGCACTAAAAACAAGCTTGGAGAATTAATGCTCTGGGATCTCCAGAGCACCACCAGTAATGACTGGTTTTCTTCTCAACTTACTGGGATCCCCTTGCACTGAAGCAGGACAGAAAGAGCTGCCTGCCAGGCTCCCACAGCTGTGGCTGGTGCAGCCACAGGAAACCTCTTGCCAAGGTGCGTGGCTCAGCCTCCTGTGCTATCTTTTGGCAGGACGCCACCACCTCCCTGCCAGCTTCAAGCCAGCAAGGACAGCAGGAGCACAAGGAAAAGCCACCTTGTTGGTTCCTGAAAGGACCCTCAGCTGCCTCAGGTCTGCAAAGCCTGCTTTCCCTATTTAAGCTAAGCAATCCTGTGTCTCCAGCAGGAACTGGGATGTTGTTGAAACAACTCACATTTTTATTTTATCACACATGAACATACATTGCTCTGAGCTCTGGAAAGCTGAAAGCACCTACTCGGCGTGCCTTGCTGCTGCTAGGCTGAGCAGCGTGTGAGCCTGGGAGCTGTGCTTGTTTGGGAGTGTTAATAAATCTTTGGACAAGGACATGGGGTGCACGCTTAAATCTGAGTCGGGAAGGAATAACACTGAGTGATGGGCTAGACCAAACTATGCCTGTCAGTGATGCCTGCTACCATGAGGAAAACTCAAAAAAGTGTGCAAGAGAATCTAAAGGCAACACAGTCAAATGAGACCATGAAAATGTACAATTTGATTAAGGAAACATCAGTTCCTTTATGATCTTTACCAAATACACTCACATTTGTTATTCATTTATGCTAATTCAGTGCAAGACAGTAAAAAAATACAATCATTCAGTGCTACAAGTAATGATAATAGTGTAATCCATTTATGGAGTGCTTGGATATAATTTCAACTTTTATAGTGTAGTGGTATGAAAGTCTGAAGTTAGTTAAATGCACAGCAAGGTGCTAATTGCAATCCTGGTCAAAATGAACCTCAGTTTATGGTAAGTTGCTGGTTGAGCTAATGACTTTGTAGAAGAGCTTGCTTCAATTCCCACTAAAGTCAGCAGCCAAACTCCTTATATAGTGAAATCTTTTATGTGACCTCTTTTAATAATTAATAATACTGGCATTTTGGTCTCCAGGGAAGTAAGCAGGGTTTGACAAGACAACAAAAACAAAATTAAGTACATACCGGTGCATCAATCAGTTGTGGTTTTGCTGATTTGGCCACCTTGCAGATTTTTCAGCATGTAGAGAAATGAAGAACAAAGACTCACCTCTGCATCCAGAACTGTGGGAGCTCCAAACAAAAGCAAATAGTAATTAAGAAACACACACTAAGTACCTGTCAAGATCTGAACTGTAGCATGATTTAATAGCAAGACCAAGTAAATGAAACTAAATCCAGCTTGCTATGGTGTCAAAAGTCTTAAAACTTTTTTCATTTTTTTTCAAGAAATGAAATCTCTTTATTAATCCAAGAGTTAATTATTTTGAAATCAGATAGATCTTACTCTAGACTACAGTATTTCACCAAGACAAATCGTCTCAAAAGGAAACGTGGAGTTCTGTTGGATTCAGAAAGTATTTGCCAATGTGGTCATAAACGTGCATAGAAAAGTCAGCAAAGCTTAGGCTCATTGCCCGGGGTAACTCAAACCTTGCCGCTCCGGTATCTTGGAGCAGAGCAGCACCAGAGAAAGCACTGCTCACGCTTGGTGCCATGAAAATGCCACATGTTTGACATAGCATGTGTCCCTCGATTCAGCACTCAGCTGTTGCTGCTAGCATTTACAGAGCCTGAGAGAAATATCCACCCGATCTGTAGTGTACAGCCGGGAACACAATTACACATAGGGAGGAGGGGGAGGTGGTGTGGGAAGCTCCAAGGACTGTTTACCTGGGGACACTAAAATTCACCTGCTGTGGGTTCTCTGAAGTAGGAGATAGCCGTGCTGCACAGCCCATGCAGGGAACGTGCTCAAGTCAGTTCTGTGGTCGTGCTGAAGCCATTTGTTTTGATTCGAGCAGCCTGTGTTCCCAAAACAGCTGGCTGGAGCCCAAGGGGACAGCTAAATAAGTAGGAGCAGCATGATTTGCCCATGGCTCAAAGTTTCACTCTGCTCTAAAACAAGTTCTTCTCAGTCAAAAAGGGTGCGTGTGTTTTTTTTTTCTTCATATGCTGAACCAAATAGCAAAATAAGGTGTTTTCCCAAATAAACTGATAATGATTTCTGCAATGCATTTGTAGCTAATTGGGGTGCAATGAAGTGCATAATTCAAATGCTATCTAGCCAGAGGGTTTAAAGAAAAGCTTAACCCTCCCTGAAAAACACGGAGCGCAGGGCTGCTGGGACAACTGGGTATCAGCAGGCTGCAGGCTTTCTACAGAGCAGGTGACAGAGGTGCAGTACCTGATCGCAGCTTAAATTCTGTCCCCAGTCATGCCTGCTTGGTTCAGTATAGTTAGTCAATGGCTGTTAGGCATTAATTAGTCACAACGTACAGTTTATTTCAAAAGAAAATATTTTAACAGCACAGGTTGTACATGTATTGAGGAAAAAACATGCCACAGTGAACCAAATTTAGTTTAGCCACTGTGAAATAATTGCAATAAGACAATGCTGGCAGTTGCTACTGAATGGTAGCACCTGGCATTCACTGCACAGGAGAGATTAGTTTCTCTCTCTCTCTCTTTCTATATATATATATACACCATATACCATATGGTATATATATAGATATACCGTACCATATATTTAGTACTCAGATATTTGAGACCAAAACTCACCACCTTAGAAAGACGTAAACACCTTTTAAGCCCAGCAGTACAACTGTGGTCATGGAAATACTAATTGCAAGTGGAAAATAGCCCCAGTGTGCAAGACCTCCACATTATTATAGTGTGATGCATTTTCTCATTTTTCATGTCCCTGGTTTATGTGACCCTGCCTGTATGTAAAATGGTTGTTGACAGTTTCTTTGATTTTGTTTTATTATAATGTAATATATGGGATGCTGAAATTCGGTAAGTTACTTGCACTTGACTGACATTTCTGAGAGTCAAAAAAATTGCTATGTATACTTGACTGAGATTAAAATGGGTAGACTGTGTACAGCAGTATCCTGCTTCAAAGTGCAGGATTGGAAGGCTTCCATTAAATTGTTATTTTCAGTTATTATTAGCTCCTAAATCAGTTAATATAATTTCTCTCCCATAATGAATGCACAGCATTGTGAGCCTAAATGTCATATTTTCTATTGATCCATCTCCACAACCTGTTTAGTGCAATAATTAAAATGATTTACAAAGCTGACCCAATATCTTAGTGGTTTAGTAAATCATGTTGCCACGTGGGAGGCTCAGCTAGTTTTAAACTCTCAGCCCTTGACAGCACCAAGACCTCGAAGTGAAGCTGCAGCAAGTGCTGTTCTGTGTCTGAAGGTGTGCTCACAGCTGGCATAAACACTTCCTCCAAAGCTCAGGGAAAAAAAAAAAAAAAAAAAAAAGGCTCAGACCAGTTGGTTGGTTGGTTGCCCCAGTTCAAAGTAGAAAAATGTCTCGGTCTTCCCAAACTGGAGCAGAATTTGAGCTGTAATTTTCAGTTAGTGTATCCTCACTTGCAACTTAAGCATCCCTGTCTCTTCTACCCCCCAAACCTGACCCTACATGTCTGTGGCCAGCAAATGGAGACCAGCTGTGGAGCTTGGTATTTTTACATGACAGACAATGTGCAAAACCATTATTTGCATCTTTTGTTGTTGTTGTTAACTTATAAGAAAAGGATGGGTATAAACGTGACCTCTGTTTCATAGAGGAGGTTTCACAACTCTCTGCCAAGGTTAACAAAGGGCTTACCAGGATTCAGTAGTGTCAAGACAGAGATACACTAAGGCATGCTCCAAAACCTCTTAAACCCCTTGCAAGTGTCTTCAGTAATCTTAAAGGGCTGTAGGTAGCTACCCAGGCCATAGGGATGGCTTAATGATGATGATCTGCCTGACACGGGAACCCCTCCTGCAATGGTACAGCCTCTCCTGACTGCTTCATGTCTCTTACAGTCCTTACAGGCAAACACACAGGAGTGATACTGGCAGAACTTGCAAAATATTCCCAGGTTTGTTTCTTGCTCACCTTCTTCATCGCTGTAATACCAACGGGGTCCCCTCAGAGCAGGGGCAGAAGGATACTACCACAGTGCCTGCAAGACAAAGCAGAAGCCAGCCTCTTCAGCAATGGTGGCAAGAGCAAACTATATTATGAGCATAGGTATTGCTATGAAAGCTAGCAGCAACCCTCTTTCCCATTAAAAAAAATAATATATGCTTTGTGACAAGCTGCACTCTGGAACAAAAGGGATTGAGGTGACTTCTAGCTGCAAAGCAAGGAAGGTGCAGCCCGGGCCAGCCCTCCCAGGGCTCGCCCCCTCCTGGGGTTGCTGCCATGGCCAGCCCTGCAGGGAGGCCGAGTCTTGGGAGGGCACGGCTGGGCAGCCAGGTCACAAACCTCCCTCCTCGTCCATGACACGAAGGAAAGAGCCCACAGCTCTGAAATCAGTCAGCATTTGAGACATCATTTATAACGTCTCCACTTGGAATTCGTATGTCTGAGCAAGCCTGAAGCTTGCTTTCAGCATCTAGTACATTTATTTTAGTTCTATTCTTTTCCATAATTATACAAAGAAAAGAAAAGCGTCCTAAAGAAACTTAAAATTTTCAAGACCATTGTTGGATGCACTTTGCAGCGATGTCATTATCCTCCTTCCTGACCCTAACCTGCCACTGTTTTTATTTTGCTTTAAATGGACCTGTAATTTCACAATGTGAATTCAGCTGGAACTATTCTTTTTGTTAAATAAACTTTACCCTTGGACTGACTGCTTCAGGCTCTGAAAAGAAACATTTCTTGCTTGTGACTGCTCCAAAATAGGTCTGAAATTCAAGAAGTGTTGGTAAATGGGCTATAATCATGCTGAAGGGCAAGAGAGTATTCCTCCTCAAAGACAGAAGTATCCGTGTTGCCTTCCGTTGCCTCAATGTTGATACTTTTACAGATCAGATTTTTTTTCCAGAAAGAAGCCTGCTGTGCTGCAGCGTGTGTTTCAGAGGTGAAACACCTTTAGTCATGCCCTTATTGCCACACTTGGAAGTGTAAATAGCAGCCTCATTTTTACAAGCCCCACGCACACAGCAGAACCTCTCCGCGCTGCCAGTGGCAGCAGGCCCTTGTGACTCAGGACTCACAGGACAGAGAGCACCATGTGAGCAGCACACCCAGCTGCTGATGCAGGCGGCTGTGCTCACGGCAGCTGCAGGGATGTTACATGAGTTTGATGTCGGTGACAAATTTGGTTGCAACTGGACACAAGGGTCACCCATGGTCTTAGCGAGAGACTGTAGCACACAGGCACACACATCACATGCACACACGTAGTGGGGTCACGGCCTCCTTGCTGCCTGCCACGTCAGGTGGACATCTCCCCCGCACTGATTGCTGGCCGGCCCCGGAATTGGTTTTCTTCCAGAAAAGGAACAAAAACCACCACCACAAACCAGAAGGAGCTGGGCAGCTCTGTCACCAGTAAGTGCCAAATGGCCAGAGCTGATGTGGGCCTGAACAAAGACTCAATCATCAGCATTAAAAGGCCAGACAGCACACAAAATCCTGTCACTGAATACAAGTGCAGTTTTACACACAAGGCAGTCCTTTACTGCACCTTCTCTGTGCAGCTACCAAAGCAGCCTTGGTCTCAGAGCAGTCGCAAATAGCAGCTATTTTTCCTGTAGGTGCGATTTGCCATTGCAGCAGTCCTAATTTCACACTAATGTAACTCTTAGAAATCCTTTTAGAACTACACTAACGTAGGCGTGACTCAAGCTCAAACTATTTGCTAACTAGGGCTCTGCACTTGCTGAGCTGTGGCAAAGAAAGGATCCCCTGGCAGCTGGCTGCAAATATGGCTCAGCTCAGTTCTAAGTCTGTGATTAGTTTATTCTGTTTAGAGGATCTGCCTAAATTAAAAATGTTCTCTCACCCATTCTCACCCGCTGTTCTGTTTTTAAGAAGTATAAAGTGCTTAATAGTCTCTACCTCCTGAAATAATCACTATAGGGTGAAAGTCCCCACACACACATCCACTGCCATTTTGACCCACTGCAAAATGTGTAAGTTAAGCTCATGCTAAAATTAACATGCACTGATGAGGTAAATGAATTGGCATTGCCATGTATATCTATTAGCTGCTAGTATTTCTGAGCCGGAACGCCATTTAATTAACAGCCTGACAGGCTAGCTCGCTCCTGAACCGCAGCCACATTTATTACTTTTATCTCCTTGGACACCTGCCTCTCTCCATGGTTTATCAGATTTGTGCTGAAGAGATGGACAAAATATTTTCTGTTGCATGAGGTGGTATTTTCTTTAAAGGTACTTACTAAAGCACTGAACTCAAACAAACGGAGGTTTCTGGTTTTTCTTCAGTTACCAAAGCAGTACAGCAGCATTAACCCCTCACAGCCCCATCCCACAGCTGCAGTTCGGAAGAAGTCAGATTGCATATCGCAAGACCAAAGTCCCCCTATTAGGGCCATGCTAGCAGCTGCCACCCTGACCACCCCTCATAAAGCTCTTGCCTGCAGTGGCCATCAATCTGTTAATCTTGTTCAGCCCAGTTTCAACAGCCAAATACTTTTCTCTGGGCATACTTTTCTCACTACCTGGAGACACACAGGTAAAACAGGCAGGGCTCAGCGTGCACGGGCACACCGTGAGACGCAGTCAAACTGGGGGGACCTAAAGCCAGGCGGTGACTCAGCACTTGACACCTTCATCAGTGTGGCCTTAGAAATGCACCTCTTAGACAAGGATAGCACAAGCCAACGTGTGTTATCGAACCGGATGGCTCACTCCACGCTCTTCAGGTTAGCAGGTCTCTCTCGCACTCTACAAATGGTGTCGTTGTCTGCAGGGACACAGGTATGGCCAAAACTTGTACCCCAGTGGTGCACTGCAAAGTCGACCCAACCAAACCGTATCAAACAGGCTTCCAGAACTGGACAACCATTTCTTAGGAAAAAAGTCTTCATTTTTCTTGGATGAAACATCCAGCATAATAGATCTTTTTGGTGCTTGAAACCTTTTTATTTGTATTCTTTTTAATTATGTTAATTTAATATAGTTTAACCAAAATCAAACAAAATGCCACATTAAACAGTTCAATCTGCTATAACTCCAGCAACTATTACTATGTTATAGTTTATCATTTTTATTTAATACCCATTTTGCATCATACAACCCTATCTCAATGTAGGCCAATGTTCGCTATGCTTTAAAATATTAAATGATGAAACCCAAGAAACAAGAAAAATAATGCCTCTAAGACAGACTGTAACAGATTAATGCATGGGTGCAGAACGCTGCTGTTAATTAGTAACTACAAGCTGTTCAGGTGTACAGCGGTGTCCATCATACTGATGTGTTTGAACCATGCGTGATCTCAGCACGCAGGGAAACCAAATATCAGTTGCCAAAACCTCAGCTTACTGACTCTTCATTATTGTTTTGGGGAGCAAGTGGTGACTTTTTAGCATTGTATGAGGCTGGGCAATGATGTTTCTGCAGTAGTTATCCCCAGGTATTCTAGTTTCACTCATTCTTTATATATGTTTTATGAAGGATATAGCTAGTTATTTTGATGTTAAAAATACGTTGGTGTTTAAAAAAAAAAAAATCACTTCCTTTACTTATGGTGATATTGAATTCCTTCAAAGTCCTCCTTCCACAGATAAATCTACTATAATGTAAAAGAAGTTGGGGTATGTGAGACCTCGAACCCTGTATGCTAAAAGAAGATGCAAACTGGTAAACTTCGTCCAAAAGATGAACCAATATTTAATTTTATTTATTTATTTTTAAACTTCAAACCGCTAGTTGGATTGCAGCAAGAGATGCCCCAAGGCAGACCGCCGAGGCAGGCTCACCAATCCTTGTCCTGCGCTGCCCCCTGGTGAGGCAAGCAGCAACTGCGACTCCAGAAGAGCTGGCTCCTTGCCTTGCCTGTGTTTTAAAGCCCAGCTTTTTAAATCATTAAAAGCTTTGAAACCCCCCCAGAATTTGGGGGTTATTGTATGTCCCCCAGATTTCTGCCCCATTAATATATATTTGGATTGTATTTTTTCATGCACAGCAAGGCCAGACTTTCTTATTCACGCATAAGTGACATCTGCAATTTGAGAGGACAAGGAGCTGGGATTTTAGGGTAATAATGACCCTTCAGTCAGAGTGAATAGTTTACCGCATCGGGGGGACATATCTCATCCTAATCAATGAGTTAGACAAACTGATAAAGCAGAAAACTTACTGAAAAACACATTGAAAAGGAACATTTGTGGGACCAGAAGGTATATCACAAGATCACACTCTTAAACCAAACCCAGCCGTCTGAAATTCATCAAATAAATCAATAATGCAAGAGTTTGGGCTTCCACACATAAACATTACAAACTCCCCCCTAGTAAACCTACAGTGCCACGAAATGAAAGTCCAGGCTACTGATCCCAAATACTCTGTTTACCCAGCTGTCTGAGCAGCAATTCTTAGTGTGCCTGCACGCCCCGTTCCCCAGGAACGGCCTTTTCCACAGCCTGAAATGCTGGCATGGGCCTGACCTGGGCCCGACTGAAAGGAGCCGTCAGCAGGACAAGGAAAAGGTGGTGGAGGAAGGACGGCAAGGTGGTGGTGGTGACGGGGCTGCTGAGGTACCTGGGCCGGCTGCACACTGCTTCGGCACACGGTAGGGAAGTTATGGTAGCTGCCTGGTATTCAGATGGAGGAAATCAGATCAGAGCATTTTAAATGGAAATTATTTTTGCTAGTACAGCTGTCCCAAGGGACCAAATTCAACTGCTAATGCAATTTGGCCAAGAGGAATAAGCTATATTGATCCTGAGAGCTCAAATGCTTGCTGAGATAGTCTTTTAGAGAATTACAGTATCTATTTCTTGTATCACCTGCAATCAGCAAAAGTGTAACAGTGATTATAGCCTGGTCACTTTTTACACACATCAGTCCACCTGTGCTCATCTCCAGCTTCAGCTCATGATAACTCTTTAATAAAAAACAAACAAAAACAACAACCAATCTGATCTTCTATTCTTATGTCATACAAATATCTTCTTTTACATTATAGTAGATTTATCTGTG